ATTTTTTTTTTTAAACAAATAAAAATGTGGGCGGCCCGGTGATCCAGAGGTTAGCGCATCGACCTCCCAGTGCAGAGGTACCGGGTTCGATTCCAGCTCCAGCCTTCTTGTGTGGAGTTTGCATGTTCTCCCAGTGCCTGCGTGGGTTTTCTCCGGGTACTCCGGTTTCCTCCCACATTCCAAAAACATGCATGGCAGGCTGATTGAACACTCTAAATAGACCCTAGGTGTGAGTGTGAGCGCGGATGGTTGTTCGTTTTGTGGCGTCCTTTATAATTTATGTACACTGAAAAAAGTGTCGTGTTGAATTTACTTAATTTTATTTTGTCAAATGGCTGCACAAAATAAAAGCATCAGGTTACAGATACAATTTTGAGCTACAGTAGATGTTTAGTTTACTCCTCTTAGACATTTTGAAAGTACATTATTTTCAGGCCAGAGGGGGAAAAATATATTCCATCCAAAAAAAATACCAATGCACAGCTTCCTTGGACTCGAATGCTGTAGCGGTTTAGAGGACCGAGGTAAGCGATTACAGTTGCATTATTGATGTTTGCTTGGAAAAAATAGACACGAGTATTTATATCACTTTACCACTGAACAGTAATTTAACTTGTTCTCATAAATTTACATATTCTGGCAGAATTTGGAAGATGTCATGATCAGGAAAGACATATTATAAGGCAATTTGGATTAGCACAGTCATAAAACAAGACAGAAACTAATGAGATTGTCCCTGTTCAGTCATCAGTCATCTCCCCCCCACCTCTCAGGTTTGTAAACCGCTGTAATAAGTAACATATCCCTGTAGATGGCGACATTGCATCACTTTGAGTTTTAGATGAGCAGTTTCTGAGTAGAAGATAAAGATTACGGGGTGAATCTCAGCTCATCACATCGATGATGAGGGAGAGAAACACCAACACTTCAGAAATCAAACAAGTTACGGCGACTTGCACTCGAACAGAGTATGTATGATAATGATTTAAACAGAGTATGTGTCGCAATAGGTAGTTGAAAGTACGCGTCACGATCAAGAGAAAAAGATGACACAGTTTATGGAGTGAATCAAGACAGCGATGTCAAAAGAAAAAAAAGTGGGGAGTCAGCATTGCTCACATCGCATTTCTTAGTTGTAAATATCTGTAAATTAATTACCATATTTTCTGCACTATAAGATGCTTTAGAGCAGGGGTGGGCAAACTTTTTAGCTCGGGGGCCATATTGATTTCTAAATTTGACAGGTGGGCCGGGTCAGCACAAGATATGGTACATATAAAAAAACGTATATGTTGACAATCCATACCAAACATCAACAGAACAAAAGCATTCAAGTATTACCATACTTTTTTCATGAGAACAGTGAGATAACTATGGTATATGTCCGGTATGAACGTCCAAGTACGGTATGTTAACAACATACATTGGTGACAACACAAGCAACAAAGTGCAACAATATATTGTCCAAAAACTGCGGCATACAGTACAGGTACAGTATATGAGAAAATATAACAAAGGTAGGACTATTTGCTCCAAAACGAGACGAGTAAAAGACCTGGTGGCTTTCTTTCCACTCACTCACTGTCTCGAACTCGACCTCCCCTCGATCACCACACAAGACAGCGTTGCTCAGCTGATGTCGTGCTTCGAACTTTTGAAGCCAGCCACAGGACGCTTCGAAGTATTCAATGCCCATAGTTGAGTCTTCCAGACTCCAAGCGTCTCCTGAATGTTTCGTACTTCGTAACCCACTTCGTTTAATGAGATACACTTCATTTTCTCTTCCGCGGCCATTACCGCTCCTCTTTGTTTGGATGCCATGCTCTAATATAGGATGTAAAAATGTTCGCAATTCCAGTAAAACTCACTGCAACAAAGAGTCGCTTGCATGTCGCCGTTTTAGATCCAATGACAGAAAATAGCGGTGGGGATACATCTATTTCGTCGTATCGAGCGCGACTTACTTGAGTTAGTGCTACTCCGGGCTTCCGTATCGTCTCCCCCTCCCCCCTTGTGCTCTGCGACTTCAAGTAACTGCGCCACCTGGCGTTTAAATGCCTGTATTACAAGTCCAAATGAAATGAATGCAATAATTTACATCGAACCTTAATTGTGTACTGTACCAACCTTCGGCGGGCCAGATTAAAAAGACCAACGGGCCGGATCCGGCCCGCGGGCCGTAGTTTGCCCATGTCTGCTTTAGAGTATAAGGCGCACCTTCAATGACTGGCCTATTTTAAAACGGTTTTCGTATATAGGGCGCACCGCATTATATGGCGCATAGGATAGAAGCTACAATAGTGACTGCGGTTGCGTTCTGCATCCACTAGATGGAGCTACGCTAAAGGAATACAATACGATACAATACAGCATTTTTTATATCGAGCCTTCACAACCGTTGCCGCTGTAACAAAGCGCTTTACAGAACATTTAAAATACTACGTCCAAGAAATCAGAGTATTGATCCATATATATAAAACGCATTGGATTGTAAGGTGCACTGTCAGCTTTGGAGAAAATTGAATCCTTTTAGGTGCGCCTTATAGCACGGAAAATACGGTATTATATTGCCATCAAAGGACCTTTCACAGTCTTGGTTTTGTTTTCCAGTTTGAGGTGTCACAAAAGCTAAAAATATTGGCCTCAAAGCGTGTGTCAAAGCTACTGCCGAGTACGAAAAAACGGATGTGAACTCTGCTTTGAAAATGGCTGGCAGTGAATGAGTTCAGACAGATAATTATACGGAGGATGGTATAAAAGTATATTATTGTAATTTGTACAGCGATTGGTCCTTACCCCCTATAGAGACAGTTGACTGTATATTTCATGTGTATTATTGTCACCAAATTTTCACTGATCTCCATCCACATCGAGAACCCAATTGATTTTCAATAATACTCCATCTAAGCTACTTGCTTGCCATTTTGAACCTGCTTTACCCCGAGACAAAACACCCCTTGCTGCCTTTGCTAATTATTTCACGAGGACTTGTTGGCCATATCCCCACAATCAATAAAGTAATCACTAATGAACAAAACATTTCCAATCGATGGGATGTGACAAGCGGCTACATCGGGAGTTTAATTGAAAGCGAAGTCCGCTACATCTCGGCCGCAGACATTTAGTCACACCGTTAATTGTTTGTCAGCGCGGCGCACACCTGCGGATTTTACAAGCCCACCTCCCTAAAATATGTATTTTGTTTTTGTACCTTTTACTCCCTTATTTGTTTGCCGCATTAGTCAGCAAAAAGGAAGGCAGCGGGCGCGAGAATATGGCCGGTGCGTAAAGGCATTGTTAGGTGAGCGGTATATGTGGCGTGTCGTGATGGATTGGGGAACAAAACACCCGGGGGCGCGCGGCGTTGCTGCGCACCAAACACATTTTTCATTTAATGGGAACAAATGGCCGTCGCCGTTGTGCCATAGCGGCACAAAAAGTAGAACATTCTAATTAGATGACAGTGGTGTATGGCACTGGTGGTACAGGGGAGGTGAACAAAGCAAATTTTTAGAAAGAGAGGAGGGGGGGGGGGAATTTCCTGAGATTAAAAAAAGGTCTGGCATTACTATTGGTTGTGGTGGTCCTAATGTGAATAAAATAGCCTTTGAGAGTCATAACAGATGATTTGAAAGTGCACCCCTCTCCTCTGACTATGGTTTTGTGTTAAATGGCAAGCCGTCAAATTTCCAGCCATGCTCCTCCTACATGAAATGACAAAAAAAAAATATCTAACTCTTGACAATCTAGCATCAGTGTATAAATCCGATAAAATCTTTAGGACAAGTCTGACAAAATCTTGAGGACAATTCTGTCTTTGAAGGATTCTCTGAAAATGTCCAAAAGGACCCCGAAAAGACTGCTTGGAACAAAAATGGCAGGGCTGAGTTTTCCCTAAGAAAAAAAAAAAAAAAAGAAAAAGAAAATCATGAGCTAATGCTAAGGTTGTGTGTTCTTTGGCAAGTCATGAAACTTTGCTGCATGGTCCCCCATACACACAACCAAAATTCACATTTCTGGGCCAATTTGCCATCTCTGAGGTCTGTCTCGTGTAGATGGTTGCAATTTGGTAAAAACTGGGACAAAATCTCTTGGACGAGTTTGCCTTTTGAAGAACCTCCTTGAAATTACAAGAAAAACTATCAGCTTTCAATATCTGCTTTCGACTAAAACGTCAGATTTCTCGTGGTTTTTTTTTTTTTTTGACATGGCTTCTGCAAACTTGTTTTGTCTTTCTACTCTTGATAAAAATTGCTGTTAAATTTCATCTCGCAAGGTGAAGCTGCTTTTGGAGGGTGAATCTCTCCCCCCCACCCCAAATCATGAACTAATGCTCACATTTTGTGTTGCAAGTCATCCAACTTTTCTGCCTTTCTCCTCTTACATGCAATGAAAACTCAAATTCGGTGTCATTCCGTTTTGGTAGAACTCGTGACAAAATCTGTCCATCTTTGAAAAACCCCTTGAAATGACCCAAATGACCCTACAACTGACTGCTTAAGACTCAATATGACCTTTTTTTTTTTTGGGTGCATCTGCTCATGATATGCGTCGTCCAAATTTCATGTAGCAAAGTGAAACGAGATGTCGGGGCTGAATTATGATGTTTTTTTCTTCTCCAAAATGTTGAGTGTTTTATGATGAGTCATCAAACTTCACTGCCATGCAACAACGAAAACTCAGGTCAGATCTCATCGAGCATTTGTGGTTCCAAATTGCTCTCAATTGGACAATATCTCTCGGACAAGTTGGTCTCTGAAGAACCACTGCAAATTGGCCAAATGAGGCTAAAATGGCCACTTAGACATTAACGGCACACTTCCTGTGACTTTTCCGCCATCTGTTCTTGGGACTTTTTTATCCATCTACTCATATCAGACTTCTGTAAATCGATTTGTAACAGCTGCAGCTGTTGTCGAAAGCGCTATATTCATTAGGATGTATTGTATTGCATACCAGCTTTCACGTTTCATTGGTCTCCTCTTTTTTCCCCACCGCAGGCCGGCCGGACGTGGTGGAGTCGGTTCCGGATGAGCCCACGTACAACGTGAGCAGCGAGCTGACGCTGGAGGTGAGCCGTGCCGACGACAACCAGGTGGTCACCTGCGCCGTGGACCACCCGTCGCTCGCCCCGGGGGACAAGAGGAGCGAGCAGGCACTTCAAGTCTTATGTGAGTCACCTTATGGGGCAGAGTTGGCCACAGAAACCTTCACTTTTGTACTTAAGTAGGAGTACAATTACTTCAATGAAAAGACTGGTAAAAGCATTAAGTGCTGATTCAACTCTTGAACCCAAGCAGATTGTCCTGACTTGCCAAAAATTGGATTCAGGGAAGAGTTCTGTTGCTTTAGAGCAGTGGTTCTTAACCTTTTTGGAGGTACCGAACCCAACCAGTTAATATGCACATTCACTGAACCCTTCATGAATGAAAAATAAATAGATATATTTTTTACAAATTCAAGATATTTAAAAAAAACGCATTTATTAAAAACAGAAAAAAGTAAATAAAATGTCAAGAGATAAATATACTTACAGTCACACGTTGACGACTAAGCAAACTAAATTTCCCACAGCACTGATTGGATGAGCAATGTCATGTGATCATCTGCAGCCAGGGATGGCCAAGCAGGCGTGTCATAACTAATTAACATGTTGAGTCGCGTGTGTCTTACCCTCAATGGCAGAGGCTCTGTCGAACCCCCGAGACCGACTCACGGAACCCCTGGGGTTCGATCGAACCCAGGTTAAGAACCACCGCTTTAGAGGAGTGTGACTCAAGTAAATGTAAAAAGCTGTGCTCCAAATAATTACTTGGGTAACTGTGAAGTAGTACGCATGGGGGTGAAAAAAGGTCAAATAATACAAATAATGGGTCAAAGAAAAAAATCGATCTATCTTGTGGTCGTACTGAGAAGAAGAAAAAAAAAATATCACATGGCATGTTTTTTTTTCTCAGAGAAAGCACCCTCAAATAAAGTGCAGAGACCTGAAAACTCTCCTTATGAACAGTATCAAAGTATTTGTACTTTATCAAAGTATTTGTACTTTGTTACTTTGATACTGCCCACCTCTGCTGATAGGTGAACGTGTGTGAGGATGCTGGGAGAAAGACTAACTACTGTTAGAATGTGGTCCGGCGTGTCGCATTCAGGCAGCAGCACTGCCATCATTTGGTCACCGCCGGGACTGTTTTTTTTTTTTTTTTTTTTTGTGGAAGGCTTATGTCATCGTGGGAGGCGGCTGGCAGATGCGAGTCGATGGTGATATGGTTGAACGAGAGTACCTCAGTCGTGCGCATGCCTCTCCCGATTTCAGTCCTGGGTTACATAACTAACTGTGTGTGTGTGTGTGTGTGTGTGTGTGTGTGTGTGTGTGTGTGTGTGTGTGTGTGTGTGTGTGTGCGTGCGTGTTTTCATTTACAGATTCCCCAAACGTTCAGATACTGCCCGAGAGTGATCTGCCTCGTGAAGGGGAGAAGTTTCACCTCGAATGTTTGGGCAATAGCAACCCCGAGTAAGACAAGACAACACACACACACACACACACACACACACACACACACACACACACACACACACACACACACACACACACACGCAAATCGTAAATGATTAAAACACCCGTCTAGACACAACACGCTCATAGTCCACTTCCACCTCCCAGGCTGAGGTTGAGTCACATCAACGGCACAGCGTGAAATCGAAGAAATGGGATTAGTGCACCCGCTTTCTCATTTTACAAAACGTTTAAAAAAATATAAAGTTAATTGACGTCGATAGCCAATACAATGAGCCACCCTGAGGTGTTTGGTGTCAGAAGTGGGATTTCATTAATTGCACTTGTTTTAAAAAAAAAAAAAAAAAATCATCCCAATGTCATTGATTGTCATTTATCGCCAATATGAAAAGCCATCCTGAGATATTTGTTTTCAGGAGTGAGCTGTAAACCGTTACGATTCATGGGTATTTATATCAGAAGTGGGATTATTTTGGTTTGAGAAGTGGGATTTGGTCCTACACAGTCATTGTGGAAATGGGTCCAGCACCTGTGTTTATATTCATTTATAAGGTTACGCGAACCCGTGTGTTGACATTTGTCATCTCTAGTCGGTATTTGGAGTCAGAAGCAAGATCAAAACATCTAAACAGTACACCTCTGAACCATGAGTTAAATGTATTACCTCATATGTCATTAGCCCCCCCCCCCCCCAAAAATATGAATAGGCCGCCTGTGGGCAGATAAATGCGACATAGACACAATGTATTACAAAACTCAGAAAAACACACGCGTACACACACATATTGAGTCAAATCCACTCTCTCTTTCCTTGTGGCCTTTCTGAATTATAGATGAAGCTTCTCGCCACCCGCATTCATCGATCCCCTCTTTCCCGTCCCTCCCCGCCCTGCCGCCTCACCTGCCGCCAATTTGCGCCTTTTTCATCCTGTCATACCGTCTACCACCTCCCCCTTACGTCCTTCCCTGTAATGATCTCCACTCGTACCTTTTCCATCATAGCACATACTCACAGACATCCTCCTGTCTGTTTGATTGACAGACGCATCAGATAGTAACCAGGGGGAAGGTGGTAGAGGATGGGGGAGGAGGGGAGGGTCCTGAAATACACACTTTGCAGGTAGATTTACCCAAGGTACTTGGTGTGAGAAGTGGGATTCAAACTAGCACTTAGTTTTCTTTACTTGGGTTGGCCAACTACGCTAATGTATTAATTTAGGGAGGCACGTTAGGTGCGTAGGTAGTTAAGGAAGTGGTTGTTAAGTTAGGCTTGGTTGGTAGGTTGGTTTTTTGATAGGTAGTTAGAGTATATAGGCCCGGTAGTATTGGTTGGTAGATTGGTCGGTAGCTACTGTAGATAGGTAGGTTATGTCAGTAGCAAGGTCGTTTGGTTGATCGGTAGTTAGCTAGGGTGTTATGTAGGTTGGTAGGAATCATGGTCGTTTAGCTAGTCAGTTGGTGGGTAGGTGGCTTTGCTCACTTGGTAGATAGGAAAGACAATTGACCCGCCTGTTGGTACGTATTTAGTTAGGTAGGTTGGTCGACAATCTAAGTATGTACTATAGGTAGGTAGCTTGGTAGGTATTGTAGATAAAGGTAGGTAGGTAGGTAGGTAGGTAGGTCGGCCGATGGGTGGGTCGGTCGATGGGTGGGTCGGTCGGTCGGTCGGTGGGTAGTTGTTTGGAGGAAGGTAGGTCGATTAGTAGGTAGGTAGATGAGATCTATCTGGTAAACTACTCATCTATGTCGACAGTATCTTTGTCTGTAGTTATTCAGGTACTGCAGTTCTGTATGCAAACATCGTTGGCAAAGGTAAAAACAAAACTGACGATAATAGGAGTATGACATCATAAAAAAATAATTAACAGCGGCATAAACGTTAATAATCCCAGAGAAGAAAAACAGAAGAGGGTCTCCTGCTGGCCGTGAAAGGCGATGGGCTGTTGTGCAAAATCCCCCCCCCCCCTCCCTCCATCCTCCATCCACCGCAACCCCCCTCGCAGTGACAGATCGTCTGCAATTAAGCAAACAATTAAGTCGGCATTTAGCGTCTGTAAGTGGCTGTTATGAAACATTACGCTCAAGTCAATGTGCGTTTTACGGTCCCGGGAGCGGCCTGCTAATCGCTCGGATGTTGCCGGTGCGGCTGCTCTGCAGGAAAAAAAAAAAAAAAAGCAGCAATACGGGTCAAGATCTTTAAAAGGCTGATTGTTGCCCTGTCAGAGAAAGGGGGGGGGGGGGAATCCGACAACGAAAGCAAATGCACTTTTTTTCCGCTAGCGTTTGAGTGCACTCTTTGTTTCCGGTAAATCAGCAAAAAGCAAAGCTGCACTGAGACGTGTCAGTCACAAGTGGCTGTTTTCAATCAAGTTGAGATCAGGTTACAGATTACTGTACTATTTCTACACGCATCAGGTGAAGGACGTGTCGGGCTTCAGTCAATGTAGCTATTCCGAGGAAAAGGGTAGGTTATGCAGATTAATAGGTAGGGCAGGTAGGTAGATTAGGTAAACAGGAAGAGAATTAACTCTTTCAGGGACAGTGGTTACTAGCGTGTACAGCAATTCACATGTTGTTTTGTCTTATATTAATTGAACTTAATGTCACAGTTGTGCATCAACCACTACAATGGTCACTTATGTGTTGCCATCCACCGCCGTTATTTTTATTTTCATGCCGAAAGACTAAAAACACTTGAGAAAAAAATCCTGATGTAGGTTATCATTTGTCCATGGAAGGGTTCAGTAGATCAGTAGGTATATTGGTAGGGAGGGGAGCGAAAGAGGTAGGTAGGAAGTAACGAAGTAAAGAAGTGAGGAAGTAAAGAAGTAAGGAAATAAGGCGGTAATGAGGTAAAGGAGTTAGGAAGTCAGGAAGTAAAGTGGTAATGAGGTAAGGAGGTAAAGAAGTAAGAGAGTAAGGAGGTAAAGAAGGAAGGAAGAGGTAAGGAAGTAAAGAAGTAAGGAAGTAACGACTTAAGGAAGTAAAGATGTAAAGAAGTAAGGAAGTAAAGCGGTAATGAGGTAAGGAGGTAAAGAAGTAAGGAAGTAAGGAGGTAAAGAAGGAAGTAAAGAGATAAGGAAGTAAAGAGGTAAGGAGGTAAAGAAGTAAGGAAGAAAGGAGGTAAAGAAGGAAGTAAAGAGATAAGGAAGTAAAGAGGTAAGGAGGTAAAGAAGTAAGGAAGAAAGGAGGTAAAGAAGGAAGTAAAGAGATAAGGAAGTAAAGAGGTAAGGAGGTAAAGAAGTAAGGAAGAAAGGAGGTAAAGAAGGAAGTAAAGAGATAAGGAAGTAAAGAGGTAAGGAGGTAAAGAAGTAAGGAAGAAAGGAGGTAAAGAAGGAAGTAAAGAGATAAGGAAGTAAAGAGGTAAGGAGGTAAAGAAGTAAGGAAGAAAGGAGGTAAAGAAGGAAGTAAAGAGATAAGGAAGTAAAGAGGTAAGGAGGTAAAGAAGTAAGGAAGAAAGGAGGTAAAGAAGGAAGTAAAGAGATAAGGAAGTAACGACTTAAGGAGGTAAGGAAGTCAAGAGGTAAGGAGGTATGGAAGTAAAGTAAGGAAGTAAAGATTTAAAGAAGTAAGGAAGCAAAGAGGTAAGGAGGTAAGGAAGTATGGAAGTAAAGATGTAGGGAGGTAAAGAAGTGAAGAAATAGAGAAGTAAGGAAGTAAAGGGGTAAAGAAGGAAGTAGAGATGTAAAGAAGTAAGTCAAGAAGTAAGGAGGTAAAGAAGTGAAGAAGTAAAGAAGTAAGGAAGTAAAGAGGTAGGAAGGAAGTAAAGAAGTATGGAAGTAAGGAAGGAAAGAAAGTAGGTAGGAAAGAAGGAGACTTCAATATTGCTTACGCTCTCACCAGGGTGACATCTCACGGAGTCCAATTTACCCGGCAAATCCTGTACCCGAGTGAAGGTGTCTTGATTATCACTGCGTCTCCTTCGATCTCCTCCGTCCGTCTCCAGCGGGTCTCCAGACATCGCAGAGGCCGTCGCCCCACTCCGCAGACAGAATTAGTCTCTCCGGAGTCTCCGACGCCAGCTGGTGACTTTGAATTAAAAAAAAAAGTATCCAAAGGATGTCAGAAAGGTGTCGTTATTCCAGTATCGATTAACGCAGGCAGGGTGGGTACGCGGCATAGTTTGGTTTGGTCGTTGTGGAGGTGAAAGAAGGTGATGATTGAATTTTGCCGTCTTCCTCGATTTTCAGCCTGCAGGTCTAAAAAAGCGTATGGGGGGGCGGATTCACCCCCATAGTTCTCCCTGGCGTCCCAGCTGGCCGTCATTGTAATTACCACCGAGCGCCTGAAGCAGCGTCTCATTTGCATAATTGATTCTTTTATCAAGGAACATTTGCCGTTATCGCTCTCATCGCCCGATGGATTTTTTTTTCGCTAGCATTGGAAATGCCGATCTTTCTTCTCTCGTCCTCCTTTCATCCGCCCTCATCCATCCTTCGTCCCATCACTTCTTCATCCTGCCTTTCATCCTCTCATTTAACGGCTGTCCTGTCTTCTCATCGTCTTGTCGCCCGCGTGCTTTTGATTTCATTTTTCCTCTCTTTTTGAACTCTTTTTTTTTTTTTTTTTTTTTCCTCTCTCTTTGTGGTTTCTAGGCCTTCGTCCTACATTTGGGAAAAGAAGGACGGAGAGCTCCCCCCGCTGGCCAAAGCCGAGGGCACCTTCCTGCGCTTCGAGGCGCTCAACAAGTCGGACAACGGCGTGTACCTGTGCTTCGCCGACAACGGCATCGGCAGCAGCGTTGGCGAGTACGTGCTGTTGGTGCAAGGTGAGGTTTCGGGAAGCTTTTATGTCGAGTTGGGGGTTTTATTTGAGGGTCTGAAGGGAAAGAAAGTCGGCAGTAGAGGTGGAACTGTACAGGTATTTGCGTCTCGTGTCAGAACACCGAACAGTTCCATGGTACGTACATCAAAGGAGTCGCGGGACGGGTTGGGGGGAATGTTGTCAAGAAAAGTCTTCTGTTTTTTCATTTTTCCCCCCACCATTCTAATTTTGTTTCATTTGTTTCCTCTTATCCAACCGCGTTGCCTTTGCTTTACTTCCAAACGCTTTTGCCTCGCGCTTGGCTCCCCTTGTCTCTCCTGTATTGACGGTCCGCCACCTTTTCTATCATTGCGCATTTTCCCCCGCCCCTTCCTGCAAAAGATCCCAACGACCCCACGGACTCCACGAGCACTCCCCCAACTTTTACGCCCACATTTTCCTCCCTGGTGACCGATCCCACGTCCTCCCTTCCTGAGCTTTTCTCCACCGGGTCCCCGTCCGAAACGCCGCCCACCATAACCGTCACGACCGCTACCGCCACAACCGCGCTTTCCAACGAGCTTTTCCCCGGCTTGACCGTCAACCCCGACTCCTCTGCAATGCCTCCACCTTTCTCCCCTTCCTCCCTGACTCCCTCAGTTTCCGACGGGCTGACTGGACATGCCACCCCCACAGGTAAAAAAAAAAAAAAATCAATCAATCAAAAAATTTCCATCAACAAGTGCGAGACCCCTGCCCACCGTGGCAAATAAATCTACTGTTGCTCATCTTGTCGCCATGGAGACAAGGACTTTGTATGCATGTCGGGATTTCACTGCTGTTTTTCTTTCTTTCTTTCTTTCTTTCTTTGTCCCTCCTTACCACCACACCCGCCCGGTGATAATCCCTGAACACAAAACCACAACACACACACACACACACACACACACACACACACACAAACACACACACACACCAAACAATCATCCCGTGGTTTCCTCATCCACTCACCAAGATGCTGCTGAAAACATCGCAGGTACAACATGCACCCGTTTGTCATCCGTTTATCACCCGAGTGCTTGTACGAGACGCAACATGAGCCTCACAATCCGATGGCATGCAAGAGTCGTATCAAGAAATACTTGCAGATGGGTGGGTCGGTAGGTGGGGAGATTGGTTGCTAAGTAGGTAACCGGTATTCAGGAATTTGTTGGTACTAAGGAAGGATGGCAGGTAAGTCCGTATTTAGGTACGTAGATTTATAAGTAGGTCGGTACTTATGGAAATGTTGTAAGACAGGAATGTTAGGTAGAAAAGTATGTAGTAGTTTAGTTGGATGGTTACTGAGGTCGATAGGTGGGTTGGTTGTTAGGTAGGTGTCTGGGTACGAAGGATGGTAGGTGGGTTGGTGATACGCAAGGATGGTAGATGGGTAAGTAGGTGAGTATGTAAGGAGTTGGTTAGGTAGGTTGTTTGTTCAGTCACTCATAGATCACAGTTGTTAGGAAGGTAGTAAGTCGAAGGTTCATTGGGAAGTACAGTAGTTAGTTGGTTGGTTAGTTAGGTTGGTCAGATGGTGTGTTGGTTGTTCAGCCAGATAGGTAGTTTAATATGTATGCCATTAAATACAGTAAGTAGGTTCGTATGTACATTAGATAGGTAGGTTGTGGGCCGTGAGGTAGCTTGTATTGGAAGGGAGGTCCTGTAGGTAGTCCTTAGTCCTGGTAGGTGATTGTTTGGTTAAGTACTTTAAGCAGGTACCGTCGACTGGTCGGGTAGTTAGGCCGGTAGGTACTGTAGTTGGGGTGGGTATGTAGCTTGTTCCCCTTTTTTGTACACTACTGCCATCCACAGGATAAGAGTGGAACCGTCACATCTTTCAATCAGCAACCAGTGAAATGGATTCGATAGTTTGGCCTTGGCGGAGGTCTACTTGTTCCTGCCACTCTTGTTTTGAGCTCATCAGATTGTGTCGTGTTGTGGCCTGAGGGTTTGTGTGTGCGCTCACGTTCTTGTGCTTTTAGCTTTCCCCTTTAGCTCTATTTGTATGTGTGTGTTCTCGGTTTCTGTGTAGGTCTACGTGGTTCTGTGTTTCCATCAGCACACGTACACTCACTCTCATATACACTCAAACAGAGTGAGTAATGAATGTTTCATGGCGACACGTGTGTATGCGACACACGTTCTACCAACACATGACCCTTTGAGTGGTACTGGTCAATTGCACTGTGTGTGCGTGTGTGTGTGAGTGTGTGTGCGTGTATGTGTTCCGACACTGACAAGTGCGATTAATGGCCTCATTGGCAGTCTCGCCTCGTCAGCGCACCCCCATCACCTCTGTGCCTGAGTGTGCGTGTGTGTGGTTGTGTGTATGTGTGTGTGTGTATGTGTGTGTGTGTGTGTGTGTGTGTGTGTGTGTGTGTGTTCAGGTCTGTGGTGGAAACTATCTAAGTATAAAAACTCATTCACTGCCAGCCATTTTCAGATCCTCCTTTACCCTAACACGTGGAGAAAAAAAAAACCCCACGTAACTGTCAAAGAATTCACTTTTAGAGTACCGGTACTCACTAATACGCAGTACTGGTACCACTCGTACTTTTGATGCAAAAAATTTCAATCAACACAATGGCAGGTCATTGTGAAGCAAGACCTTCCTTTCTTTCTGCCGCACATGAAGGTTCGCCACCGTAATGTCGCACCAACGACTGGCAAGGAGCACTTCTTCGATGTCAGATTTTTTATTTTTTTTCTGAAGTATTGGTAGCTGCTATCGGCAGCCTTCATGAGTACCCGATACAAAGAAACGAGGCCGGCGTCGGGCCAGATATTGATACCTGGTATCAGTACTAGCCTATCCCTAAATTTAGCTCCATATTTTTCTTACTTTTACTGACGTACAAGAGTTGAATTACTTGAACTTTGTCTTTTTTTTTTTTTTTTTTACACAACTATCTGTACTTCTGCTTGAGTACAAAGTGTGAGTACCTTTGCCACTAGTGTGCGTGCGTGCGTGTGTGTGTGTGTGCCCCACCCACCCTTTCATGTCACTCACATTTTTCACTTATTTTTGCTCCAAAATGGCCACCACTGCACCAGTTTCTCGTCCCCTAATTGATGAACTCACTGCTAGAGTGTTGTATGACATAAAGTGTTGGATGACATTTCATGCGTGCTCTGTTCTAATTATGTTCTTGTTTTTTTGGGGGGTTTTTTTTGTTTTTGTTTTTTTTTCTGCTTCTCTCTTCCTCACGACCTCTCCTCACCTCCTCAACTCTTTCCTCGCTTCCTACTTCCATCTTCACTTTGTCCTCCCAATCTTTCCTCACTCCTTCACCTCCTCCTCCCCCCTTTTGCTCCTCCTCTCCCGGGTTCCCGTCGCCTCGTTTAGACCCCACGGCCATGTCGACGTCATCGAGCGTGGACCACGCGGTGATCGGCGGCGTGGTGGCCGTCATCGTCTTCATCCTGCTGTGCCTCCTCATCGTCTTTGGGAGATACCTCATCAGACACAAAGGTCTGGCGCGTTCATATACACACACACACACACACACACACACACCCTCCTCTCCCGGGTTCCCGTCGCCTCGTTTAGACCCCACGGCCATGTCGACGTCATCGAGCGTGGACCACGCGGTGATCGGCGGCGTGGTGGCCGTCATCGTCTTCATCCTGCTGTGCCTCCTCATCGTCTTTGGGAGATACCTCATCAGACACAAAGGTCTGGCGCGTTCATATACACACACACACACACACACACACACACACACGCACGCACGCACACACACACACACACACACACACACACACACACACATGCACTGAAATGTTAACCCTTTCAGGGACAGCGGTTACTACAGTGGACAGCTTATCATGTTATCAGGTTACAGGGTGCATCAAAGTTTTCAATTAATTTGAAAACTTTTAACTGACTCTTTTTTTCACATTGTCATTATGGGGTGTTGTGTGAAGTATTTTGAGGAAGGCTGCATTTGAAGTGTACATCTTGCCTCCGATCGGGTTCATTTCATCGCGGCAGCCAGAATCACGATCGTGATTAATATGAGTTGAATTATGGAGCCCTAATTTTTTTTTTTCCCCCATAGGAACATATTTGACCCACGAGGCCAAAGGCTCAGACGACGCCCCCGACGCCGACACGGCCATCATCAACGCTGAGGGTGGAAACTCCGGAGTCGAGGACAAGAAGGAGTACTTCATCTAGGGAGCAAGAAGAGAAGAAAGAAGGAAGGAGAAGAAGGAAAGAACAATCTTCCATTTTGTTTTCACCACACTCAGTTGCTCGAGAAAGTCGGGGGTGAGGACTTCGTTTGCATCGACACGGGGGATGTGAGATTTGCACTGACACACACCCACACATACACACACACCCACACACACGATGACTAACTAACACGTTATTGTTACGTTGCGATCCCGGCGTCCCGTTTTTGAACCAACTCCGAAATTGTAACTCACATTCCTTCCCGAGCTGCTTCCTACATGAACACCACACCCACTTCATGAACATCCTCAGCCTGCCCTCTTCAAAAAAAAATGTGACGAGCCACCCTGCAACCCCCACCTAAGGCCCCTCCATCTACACTACACACGTACACCTATAAATATGTGTGTGTGTGTGTGTGTGTGTGTGTGTATGTATGTATATATATATATATATTTTTTTTTTTAAGGTTTTGATGGCATGTTGTAGCGTTTGCAGAATGTGCTGCTTGGGCACAAGAATGCAACTTTTTTCTTTTGTCCTTTCTCCAACTAAATAAAACCTTTTTAAAATGTTCAACACTCACTTCAAAACAGCAAACGATCATTTTGCTTCCACGACTGAACATGTTCTGCCGCATGTTGTATTGACACAATGTCACGATTCCGACATAATATATGGAGCGAGATTTGTTTGTGTTCTTTGGCGCCAACTTGATTTTGTCAAATGTAAAAGAATGAGGGAGGACGTGTTAGAAGGAAACACGGAGAGTCATTCCTTCACGTCTTGACTCTTTTGGGTTGTTTTGGCTTGACTGGGTCAAGAATGTTTCCCTGAGTGAAAATATTGTTCATGATTGGCTTTGTTGTGGCAGGCTACAACAGAAGGATGTGGAGTTTTTGATTATGGCCCGGTTGTGGGAGGCAAAACTCGGTGACCTTCATTTTAACTTCTGCCCCACATTGTTTAGCCCACTGGCTCAAAGGTTTGTGAGCAAGATTGTCTCCAAATTGTGCAATAAAAACTTACAGGTGTTTGCTTTTTTTTTTTTTTTTTTTGCCCAAAGTCTGGGGGCCCCTCCAGTCTACAGGATTGTGAAAACCGGACTCAGCTTTGGTGGAGCAGTGCAAGAGGCACGATGAGGTTGGGCTCACTTGCATGACTGATTTCAGCAAGACGAAAACTCTACCAAAGTGCAACCTTTTCAACAATTCAAATAATGAGATCAGTGGTTGTCAACAGCGCAACTCTGCAAATCGTCATCGGGTTGAAATGTCACACTCTGGTCACTTCAGTTGGTGTTCTGAATCCGCTACCTGACGCATGCGGTGGGACAGCGAGCCGTGCAAAACACGGGAAAATGCCAGCTTTGACGGCCAGTGCGAAAAAGGCTTCCGCTTATCATCGAAGTACTGCAAGGCTACGCTATCACCTTCGTGCAAAACATGCAGCGACGCCTTCAACAGTTTGTCTTGACTCAATACAAGCAAAGCTAATCTGCCTCAAGAGCTGGCTGAAAGAGGAGAAGAATTCCACTTTTATTTAGTGGTTATCGAATCTCACTCGGCAGCACGCTCGTGAAGACAAAAAAACGCTATGGCCTACATTGCAACATTTCAGACACATGCTGGAATTGCAAATCAAACTTTATATCAAAATGTTGGTCTGTTAACCCAAATTGACAAAAAACGTGTTTGGCTTCACACGTGCATGCTTTGCCTTTGTCCGCATTGGCACGTTTTGCACTCTTTCCCAGCCAAGTGTGCATATGCATGTGTTCAAGCTGTTATCTAGGGCATTATTCCGCAACACCTACCAGCGTGTCAACACCTGCACCTTGGGGTGGTGGGGAGGGCTTTAGGCTGACGCGTGAGTTTTGGCAGGTTCTGGGTTTTGTGACGCTCTCTAAACGAGCATGTGAGCAGACTGTAATAATGGGCACATATGCTCACAAACACACAGCGGCTATTTTTAGGAAAGACTCGCACTTTTATGCTTCACTCGTCAGTGTTTGTGCAGTTGGGGGGTAAGGGGGGGTGCGGGGGTTT